ATATGTAGGATTTTCGGATCACTGTTTCGGCTCTTAGAAATTAATCTTTCCTTCGAGGGACTACTAGCAAAAGTATTTTTTTTGCGAAGTGTGACAGACTTTTTGCAGAATCCGAAGTGTCAGAGTTTACAGTTGAGCAGCGCAAAACAAGCGGCTTGAAAAATCGACGAGCGACAAGTATTTCTGGCCGGAAACTAATTTAAGAAAATTCTTCGAAGCGGGGAGTTCGACTGAGATATGTTTCTTATTCGGGCATCGGGATTGAGGGAGTTATGCCAGTGGGAGGTGGCAGACCTAAGCCCGATTTGCCATTCGAAGCGGAAGTGACCCTTGAAGTCTGATTTTGTTTGTGCGGCCATTCGTTGGCAACGAGATTTTTCCCCCGGCTAGGGCCTCCTGAGTCCACTTCGCCCCATTCGCCCCGCTCCATGTCAATATATTTATTTATCTTATCCCATTGCGTCGTAGTCTTGCTCTCGCTGTTCAATTTTTAATCAACGGCTTTGATGGCGTCTTGGCAGCGCCTCCTAGAATCCATGCAATTTCCTGTTTGGCTGTGGACGAAGTCTGAAAGACAGGCGGCGCAAAAAAAAAGAAAAGGAAAAGCTCAACTCGGCTGGTTGTCTATTTATAGCATTTTGGCCATATCCCACGGAATTCAATGTCAACAGCACAGCCGGGAATCCAGTCGAAGTCGATGGGAGGCGGAAGTGGAAGTGGAATCGGTGCTGGAGGCGGAGGTGGGGGAACGGCAGGGGCCGGGATTGGAGGTCGGAAGGCAGAGTTGTCATCCGCAAGTGGCGACTTGAGCATAAGCAGGCGGCCACTCAAGTCGATCTTCGTCATCGCCCATCAGTCAACCGATTAGGGTCCTGTCCCCCAACAAAGTGCAGCATACTTATGGGAGCTGTAATTGAACTTGGCCCTCAGCGGGCAATTAAGGCCACACCATAAGTCACAGCAGGAGCGGTGAAATCAGGGGGAGGAAAGAATTAGGGTTATTGTGTAACCAAACATTTTGATTTATTATTATTACTATAATTATAAAATGTTCTGCTATAATGAGCAATTTGATTTAATCCGGTGCAGGTATATTTGATAATGAACAAAAATCACACACATTGACCAATATGCTATATAAATAGTCCCAACCCATCGAATTGTTAAATTGATCAATACACACCACTTACCATTCTGTGATGGTAATACTTTTAAGTAGCAACAATAAAGTACACGTCAATATTTTCAATAGTTGTTAACCATTTTTTACAGTTACATAACTATCCGTATTGGTGAAATTTACCCATACAATTTTGTTGTGTGTATAAAAATACACACCTGTTTCTAAAAATTATAATACAACTTATAATAGTATTTATAGAGCAATAAAAACACCATTGGTCCCTCCGGGAAAAATATTTAAAACTTATTTTTGAAGTATATTATCCAATTTTTTGCTGAATAATAAATTAGACAAAAACCATTTCTTCTAAACAACCCTTACCCTAATTTTCTAGAAAATATTAATCTGGGAAAGTAAATGTAAAATTTGTTTTCTATATAATCGCAATTATTTTTAAGTTTTTAATTTAATTTTTAAAAAATGTTTCCAGAGGTGTATCTAAAGCAGTAAATTCCTAAGTCTTGGACAAAACTTATATTAGCAAAATTTATGCAATTGCAATAGCCCATGAATAAAATTACTCTAATAGCAATTTTTTCCAATATAACCTCTGCTTGTATTTGCATAATTCCGATTTGTCACTTAAGCCATTCCCACACGATGAAAACCCTTTTGATTTGCCAAGTTCAAAGTGCAAAGGTGCAAGGGGACAAAAGGACCAGGAGGAGAACCAGGAGACAACGGCGAGGTGGGCATGTGACGAGCCCAACTGTGGAATCGCCAATGAATCGCCATCGGCCAAGACAATGGGGCCAGCCTGCACTGCGCTTCGGGTCCTTGGTCGGAGGTCCTGCGAGCCTGTTTACGTCACAAAGCTGCGTAGGCGTCATCGTCGTGCGGCGCACCCATCGTCCCCATCCTGCTCCTCGTTTCCTCGGCTATATGGTTCCCCGATTCCCCGATGCCTCGACTCCTCGGGCGGCGACATCGTTGAAAAACGACGCCAGCCAGGCGCTGATTTTCCCCATATGCCCATCCCCATAGCACTCCCATTTTTCCCCATTTCCCATTTCCATATCTCTGCTCGAGGGCTCGAGCTCTGGTTTCCCAACATCACTCGGGGGCTGCGGGGAGGCTATCTCCTGAATGAAAATCCGTGGCTTCGATTTTTGTTGTTGACGTAGTCGTCTCTTCAATCTGCGCCTGCGCCTTTGCCTGGCAGAATCATCTGTTGTTGTCCCCCCGGGAACCCTTCGATGGGTTCTGGGCCCAGCAAGTGCATTTGACTTGTGGTAGGACCGAGTTCCGGGCCAGGGGAAAGGGAACGGTTCTGGCCAGGCTCAGCTGTTTGCTGTCGCCTGTAGAGTTTTCCAAACGGGCCTGGACTTTCGGGCCGAGCAACAAATTGAGAGTCCAAGCCGGCTTTTCGCGTGGAGACCTGCTCTCGGTGATAGATCCTAACCATTTGGAATTTGGTTATGTTACAGTCCTTATAGATGATTTCCACGGATCATTATTTTAAAAACTAAAGGGTAAGTTGTTTTTTATAAAACAATATATCAGAAAGATAATTAAATTTTAACATATATGAGTAAATTTTTCGACTTTCATATTTTTTACCATTAAACTTAACATTAAACGCTTAAAACCTATTTGCCTACGTAAGGTGGGTAAAACTTGGGATTAAATAGATTTAGACATACCAAATAGAAAATAGATAAAGTTCAGTTTCTGAATGTTTGGGAAATATCCTTTCAATCAGAGCGGAACCTTTCCATTTCATGAATGACCACTATAAGCTAGTTCTTTCATTCGTATCATGTTTTTACGCTCTACTTGGAAACTTTTTCGATTATACCTTCTCGCCCATTCAAAACTCTCCACACCGTGGGCCCAGTCCATTCACGTGGACCGAGCTCTCGATTCAACTTCACCTCGGCTCGAAAATCATTACGTTGGCACGGCGAATATATTATAGCTCGCTCGTAAAACGTAAAAGCCACAGACATTGTGACGACAACTGGACTCGTCTTCGTCCTCGGTCCGCCAGCCACGCCCCCCGCCCCAGCATTTGAGTCCTGCATAGGGGCGTGTGCAACAGCAAAAACAACGGCAAGAATCGAAAAACGAAAAGCGAAAAGCAGGCTGCAAGCAACGATGACGACTCTCTTTTCAGGACGTTCTCCTTCATTCATGTTGGTTTTCGCCCGAATCGGCAGGACCTCGGCTCTTCGTCCTTATCCGCACTTCCCCTCTTTGGTTCCCGATTCGGGTTCGGTTCGGACGCTTTAATGACTCGCAATCTTTGTGCTCATTTTTGTTCACATTATAGTATCGATGCTGCTGCGTGAGCTGTGTTTTGGTTTTATGTATTTGTCGCTAATGTGTGGGCGTCATCGTTTTTCGGATTTCGAAATGAAGGGGAAGGGAATCGAAAGTTCGAAGGGAAAAGCGATCATTATAGGACTATAAATATCAGCGGAACTGGAAGATTAGGGGTATGTTGTATGTCATTAGGAAATAGTAGGCAGTTATTTTGGTACAATACGAGTATAAAAATCTAATAAGGCGTTATATACTAAATTGGTTTGGAAAAACCAATAAAAAAGTCTAACCTTTTTTATAGAACCTTAGTTGTATTTGGAGGTATTATTGATACAGGTAAATTAAATTTTTTTTGGTGGTTATGTCCTTAAAATTAAAAAGTAAGATTAAAGTGTAAAAATGGTCCTTTAAAAAGGTATTTAAAGAAGTAACACTTACTTGCACTTTAAAATAAATAATAGTGTATTATAATAATAGTGGTATTATCAACAGCATGTAGAGAAAGGTAAGCAAAGTAAATGTTAAACATTTTTTAAATAAGTAGTAATTTCAAGATTATCATTTTAAACATCATTGGATCATATACCGCAACACCAAAAATTAACCGGTTTGGATTTCATAATCTAAAAGTATTCATAAAATCGAGTCCAGCCCCATTGGGGGTTCTTTTCACCTAGCTCGCATTTGGATATTAAAGCAATCTAAAGATTTGGGCAATATCCCTTCAAGCCAATCAAATTGAAGTACCCGTTCTCAAAATTATTTTTGGAAAGCCAGATTTTCAGATAAGGAAATTTTAAATCCTAAAATTATCCTGGATATATAAAAAAAACAATTTTATTTTTCTTAAGATAAAGCCTTTACTGTATTATCCAAGAAGGAGCTAAGGTAGAGAAATTCAATATGGGGCTTGAATCGTTATGAGTAGTACCTTTAAATCTTGAAATTTAAACTGCGGTTGCACTCCAAAATCCTTTAAATGTGGAAAAGATTATTTTCCAAATCTACAAAGCCAAAAGTGGCTTGGTGACCCTTTAACGAATGACTTCGGTAAAGTTCCCATAAGCTGTCCCTTAATTAAATAAAAATCCTTATCTCGGGACTAACCCAAGTTGCGAACTCACATAATTTCCCCGGAAAGCACAGCAATCTCGGGATAACCCAGTGAAAAGTGCATTTAGTGATTGGTGGGTATTTGGGATTAGGGGAGCTTCAGCTGATGACAGCCAAATGGGATTACCCAACTCGAATCGAACTGGGGAAATGCCCCGCCAGGACGAAGGATTCCGATGCCGAGGCCGTGCAACCCACGCAAAGAGGCGACCGCAAATCATATGGCGGCTGGGAAATGGGAAACTGGGTGTCGCTGAAGCCGGTAACGGTAACCAAGTGCGCAGGATCAGGCCCTCTCTCTCTCTCTCTCTGTTTCGCTTTCTCCCTCTCTGTCGCTTTCTCCGTTCCCGTTAGACTTCGGGAAAAACTCTACACATGAGGCTGGTTGAAAACAAGTGGTTGAGCGGGCGTAGTGCTCAGTATAGAGCGAACAGTCGTTTCGAGCTCGACTTTTTCCCGCTGACCGAGAGCACGAGCTGGAGCTGGAACTGAAGCCCAGAAAAGAAGAGGAAGAACCCAGAACCAGAAGCGGGAACAGGAGCAGGAGGAGAAAGTAAAGAAAGTAGGAGCAGGGGAGTGGAGAAAGAGAGAGAAAGAGAGTGAGAGCGTAGAGCGTAGAGGACCCAGCAGCCAGTTCGCCGAGCAGTGAAATTCGAGGCGGGGCGTGAAGGAAGTGGGTGTACGAGTGCGAGTACGACTGCGACTACGACTACGACTACCATAAAGTGGAAATCCGAAACGCCTTGAGGAGAGGCAGCGACGTTGGCCGAGGCAGCGACTGCGACGCCGGCAGCGGCAGAGGGACACGCGTCAGGCGGCCAAGCAAAAGGCAGACAAACAGGCAAATCCTGCTGAGACGACACGACGAGTCCTTGCTCGTCGGTTCAAACGTGCGGAACACTCTTGGAGGCAGCCGAAAAAAAGAAAATACCACTAGAAGCAAAGCTAGTCCACAAAACACCACTCACACTCAACCCAAAACAAGGGAAAGTTTTCACCACAAAATAATAATAATACAAAAGAAAGCTAAACAAAGCATTATTATTCCCAAGAAACCCAAAAAACAATATTTTCGAAAAATATCCCAAGATATATTCATCCATTCAAGTGCAGTGACTCGTGTGCAAAAGTTATCCAACCACAAAACCCCCCAAAAAAAAACTAAGTGCCGCAAGCTGAGAGAGCTAAACACGAAAAAAGTGCTAAAAGTTCCTTAAAAAATATTAATAACAAAAAACAAAATATTTGTTCAACTGCTTATAAAAAATATACAAATTATACAACAAAAATATTCTTTGCATTTTAACAAAACGTATAAGAGAGCAGCTCAAAAAAACGAAAGAGGAAAACCAAAGTGCCGTGGAAAAACTAACTAATAAGCTTACTAAAAAATATATAAACGAACGACTGGCCAGTGTGGAAAAGCTTTATAAAAGGCCTACAAAAGTTAAATCAAAACCCCAAAGAACTGGAACTGCTTACCGAAAAGCCGACGGAAGACAGCAACTAGTTGTTGTCAGAGGCCAACAACCAGGTTCAAACGGCCATATACCTATACCCATATAGGAACCCATACCTATACCGACTCTCCGACTTCACCTACCCAAGCGGAACCCAAACTCCCTGGCCAGAGTAGACAATTGATTATTGATTTTGTCTAAGGCTGCAGAACTTCACAGCTTAACGCAAAACAAACTTGGCAGCAGGGCAACAAAGGGCGACGAAAGACGGGGGCAAAAAAAAAATACCAGTGACAAGAAAGGGCCGTTGAAAGGCAGCCTGAAAAACCGGAAAAAGTGGGTAGTACCTCGGAAAACTGCTCCGGTATCGGCCAGTGTTGTGCAATGCCAGGCTTAGGCCGGCACAGTGTTGGTCAGCGGTGTGGGGCCTAAAGGCCCAGGCCGAAAAGCATCGAAATCCCATATAGAGAAACAATCTTAAAGTCGGGACTTTCCCCCACCACCACCACCACCACCAGCCCCTAAGACACCACCTGCCACCAGACTATCACCACCCACCCCCCGAATAGATTTCTTTCCTCCCCCCCCGGGTATACCCATCCAGAACCGCCAAGATAAGCCGTCTAATCGAGAAGCTGCGCCAGACCAACAAACGGAAAATGTTCTGCTCGCTGGCCCAGACGCTCTTCTGCGTCCTGCTCATCCAGGGCGGCCTCTATGCCCTCCACCTGAGCGGAAACGGAAATGGCAATGGCAACGAGAAGTCCCTGGGTGAGGCCAAGGCGGGCCAGGTGCCCAGCCAACCGCTGGGACCCTCGACGGGAGTGTCCGCCGCCTGGCAGACGGCTCCCTCGCAACAGCAGCAGCACCAGCAGCATCCCGGAGGATCTCCGCCGGGCGGTGGATCCCTTTCCGCATCCTCGTCCCATGGCCACCGGTCTGCGGCGGCGGCCGCCTTCGATGCCACCACCGTGCGGCTGAACAAGGAGATAGCGGACATGGCCCAGCTGGAGCGGGAGCGACTGATGCTCCTGGCCCGCGCCAAGCAGACGGCGGAGCAACAAGCACCGCCGGCGGGCAGCCATCATCGTGGCCATCCCTTCATCGCCGGCCGGATACAGATGCAGCCCAGCGAGGAGCTGGACGTGGGCGACTATCCCGCCCTGCTGCAGCAGGCCGCCAGGGGCTACATCTTCGGCAATGTCCAGAAGCAGCCGCCCACTCCGATCAGCCTGGAGCAGGATTACGAACAGCTGCGGGATGTGGACAACAGGCCCGTAAAGTACTACGGCCGAGTGGTGCAGCCGGCGGAGAGGGAAGAGCCGGCGGAGTACGAACCACTGCACTCCTTCGGCGACTTCGATGACTTCTCGGAGCTGGAGCCGGAACAGGCGGAGCCGCACTTGGGTGAAGATGAGCTGCTGCGGGAACTGGATGCCTATCAGTATCACGGCCTGGAGGACGAGCCACTCCCAGAGAATCCCTACCGCACTCTGGAGCAGCTGGAGCTGGCCGCACCCGACTCCCTGCAACAGCTCTTCGAGCAGGAGCAGGAGCAGCGAGATGCCCCCTACAAGGGGACGCACTCCGCCGGCAAGGTCCACAACCCGGGTAACTACAACATAAGGGTGCAGCAGAAGTGGGCCAGGAAGCGAAATGGTCAGGGAGTAGCGCATAATCCGGAGGCGGAGAAGCAGCTGCAGCGCCAGATCTTTGCCCAGCACTTCAAGCCGCAAAGGAGTGGCAAACTATCGCTTTCGGCCAACTCAGAGGCCACGGCCAGCAAGCACCTGAAGCCATCCAGTCGCTCCGGCTCCAAGGATACCGAGAAGCCCCATAATGAGCCACTAGGAGGCAGTGCCTCCGGCTCCACCTCCAATGGCAAACAGGCGAACGGCGATGGAAATCCTAAGCAGCAGGCGGAGCAGCAGCAGCAGCAGTCTCAGCTGGACAAAAAGGATCCCAGCCACAAGCGATCCGGGTCGGGATCAGCGGGATCCGTGGGATCGCCAGGAGGCGGCTACTCCGCGCAGCCACCCATCTCCCACAGCATAGCCAGCCAGCTGATGCTGCGCACCGCCCGCGGTCAACGGCAGTACGATGTGCCACAAATCGGTGAGTTTCAGATATATACATATATAGTATACTATATAGAAATGGGGGATAGGTTATAAGGTTTACCCCCGCGGCAATCGATGGAACCAATCATCGGTCTGTTTCACCTGTGACCTTTTGCCGGCTGTCTGGCATTAATTCGATCCAATCGAACCTCCACTTAACGCCGTAATTCCCTTAAGCGCAGCACGAAAGCCCAGAACTTTCACCTCACATTATATTCACGTACTGCGACTGCAATTTATTTAATGATCGGAAACTTTGGAGTCCCAAAATAGAATATGAAACTTTTAAATCGAAAATAGATGTCGAGTTCTATAAAAGAAACGTAAGCTTGAATTATTCAAGATAATTGAGGAAGTGAGGTTTAACTAAATAGGTTTGAAAGGCTTATAACTATTCTACTAATCCAAAAATAAAAACCGACCATCCAAAATGTACATATATTAAAAAGTCCAGTGTACTATAATTACTCCGTCATGGTTAATTTACAAATGCGTGTTCAAGGGTTAGAAAGACAACATTTGTTCCCAATAGTCGGTCAATATCTCTTCCAATATCTCTGGGTTTCATGTCGTGTTAATTTTATTCGAGTCGATTCGAGTGGAACCAGCACTTGACCCTCTCGTATACCTGTACCCATTTTAGTTTTTTCGGTTCGAAGCCCCCTAAACCAAATGGGCCAGGACCCCAAGGACAGGCCATAATCGTTCTATTTCCGTCCTTATTTATTTTGCGGCAGTTATAAACGCGTATACCTAGGCGTATTTACCCGTTTCATTACGGCCGGTAGGTCTTATTATTCCCGGCAAAGTCCTGCATATTTCATGATCCAAGGCGGTGCACTTCGGCCGGGCAATTTAATCCTTTTAGCCGGCTCGTGGGCGACCGGCTCATCAATCATCAATCATCCGCCGTTTAATAGATTGTCACTAAATCATTTGTCAACAATGGCCAAAGCGGAAAAGTTTTTGCAGCTATTTTCGGTAGTTTGGCCAACTTTTCAGCCCGTTATTTTTGGCCATTGCATTTAGCAAATTGGTCCGAGTATTACAAATGGAATGGGTCTGTGCGGGGAAGTTCGTCCTTGGCTTTCCTTCGTTTTTGGGCCGTTGTTAATCACTTGGCTGGCTAAATTACTTTACAACAAGTTTTGATGGTCGCCATGAATACGGAATGCGCTTAGAGAAAGTTGGCCAGTAAGATGGCTGCCGACTGCTATGGTTTGCTGCTGCCGGTCCTGCGGGACAATCAATTTTAATTTTTAATTAACACTTTCAAGTTTAATGGCGACATTGTTATGGCCGTGAGCTAAATGCGATTTCATTGCTGGCCTGCCCAGAAAACAAAGGCGGAGGAGCATAACTTATCTGCCAACTTGGATTTTCCATTTGTATCCTATGAAAATTCACAATTTAGTTTACTCTCCTGGGAAATTGGCATTCACTTTAATAGATTCCAAACAAAATACATACTAGTCATTTATAATTCAAATTAAATAAATGCTGTTTATAAGTTATGCATTTTAACGCCTCTATTGTTTTCTTAAAACGCTTTGTTTATGGTTTTTCGCTTTTAATTCAGCAGAATTTAATGCTCCTTATGAAATTACCTTAGATTAACATATTTCTTTGTTCTTATCTTTTCTTGGAAACTTCTTTCCTTTTATCTGATGGATAAATAAACGTTATTTTCAATTAACTTTTATGCACACAGGGGGGCTAAACTTAAAGTGAAACAAAGGAGTAGATATTTCCCGGGAACAGATTAGCCTATTAAAGTAAATTGGATTAGTTGATTGTCTGTAGCTTCCTGGCTCTGTCACTTTCCTTTCCATTTCTCTGTGGAATTGGCCATCTTTGAACAATTGATTTGGCAAGGTTTCTGCCGATTGAGAGATGTGCCGAAAATTCAATATGAGGCAATCAATGAGTTTTCATTTTATGCGCATGTTTGCACAATTTTCCTCATTGTTATGCCTGTCGCTGTCTTCTTTCTTCTTTCTTCTTCTCCATCTCCCTCTCACTTTCGCATTTAAGTATTTGGAATTTTTCCTTGCCAGCAGCTCCGCTTTTCCCACATTTCTGTTTGTTTATTTCCGCATAACGTCATCAAGTGTCAGCTGTGAAAACGTCAACGCTCGCCACCCGCCGCTCCTCACTTCACACTTTCGCTGGCGGTGGGATAGTTGGGAAAACTACAATTGTCCCCTAAGTGGTTACACGGAAAACAATTATGCGGATAATAAGTGCCCTCAAAGCCAAAAAAAAACACGGTAGCTAGGGATAATGTGTGTGGTCTATATTAAGAAAGAAATTTAAAATGTTTTAATGGTGAACAATTTTTAAAAAGTATATAAATTTAAAGTAGATAAATAGATATATAGATAGATAGATAGATAGATAGATAGATAGATATATAGATAGATAGATAGATAGATAGATAGATAGATAGATATATAGATAGATAGAAAGATAGATAGATAGATAGATGGATATATAGATGATAGATATATAGATAGATAGATATATAGATAAATAGATAAGATAGTATCTATGGATAATGCGTGTAAAATATAATTAAGAAACGATTTTTAAATGTTTATATAAATATAAAGTAGATAGATAAATAGATAGATAGTTATTTAAGATAGTAGCTAGGAATCCTGCGTGTGATCTTTAACTGAGAAGGGTTTTTAAATGTTTTCATAATGAAAAATTTACAACCTAGTTTTTACAAATATAAAATCCAACTTCTATTTATAATAATATACCTTTGTATTATTAAAAGAATTTATTTTAAGTGATCAGTTTACTTTTTCGGATACTTAAAGCTCTTAAAACTTAAATATATATTAGTCTTTTGATATTTTATTTTAAGATGTTTCTTATTTTCACCTTAAGTATAAAATGCTATAATTACAACTTATTATATTGTTTCTTCTTTGGAATTATTGATGTTACATTAAAGGAATCCTCCTTAAACTTGATATTTTGCTTTCTCATTTATAGCTTTAGTATAAAATGTTATATTTCAAACTTATAATCTTTTATCTTCTTAGGAATTATTGTTATTACTTGGAAGAAAATTCCTAATATTGTGTCACAAATTTTTCTGAGTAACCACACCACATAAAGTCCTAATTCGGTCCCTAATGACCCAAAGAGTTTGCTTCTGTGCCGAAAAGGAAAAGGAAAACGCTCCCGAAAAAAGTAGAAAAAAAGCCGTCACATATTTTCCCGGGAAACCTGCGGCTGCGTTTACAACTTGACATCATTAAAACGCGTTCACAATTTACGATCTGGTGGTCCGGTTTCCAGCTAATTTAGTAACAACACCCCGGGGGTCCTAAGCGACCGGACAGGACGCCTCCGTTTGACAAGTCCTTGCTCCCACGCCTACGCCCATGTCCTGTGTGTGCCAGTGTGTGTGTGAGTGTGAGTGCGTGTGCGCACGCCTTTAGTTTTCCTTCACACTCAAACTAACATTTTCATACCCTGGCGGTTGATTTAATTTGTAATTTGAGGACCGCTCGGTCCTCAAGTGGCCACTTGGCGGCGGGAAGATCATCGATTTGTGCGGACGGCGGTCCTTCCTCATCGATGGCCCCATCCCCGCCCCCTTCGCTCCTGTCAAATATTACGCAAATTAGTTGGAAATGGATATTGGAGATGCGTCCATCAGTCTGTCCGTCTGTCTATCTGCCTTGGTATCGGTGGCCAACCTCGACCTTTTTCCATTTTCCGCGTCATGTGCGTGTTGCGGCTGCAGCCGAGCGGATGGAAAATTTTACCACAGCGACAGGTTGTCTGCCGCAACTTGTGGGTTCCGCCTCGCTCCACTTCTGGTGGCTGTGTGCCTCCATAATCGGGCATGGATATGCAAATGGTCGATTTTCAGGACACTTGGGGCAACGGCGACAGATCAGACAAATTGGGCAAACACTGGCTTTTTTTCGCAGACAGATTGGTTGATCTCCATGGCAGCCCTTTTTACTATTTTGTTAAGCATACGGATTTTTATTGATCCATGGGGTGGCAAAAACATTTTTATTATTTGTGAAAATATGAGCTTTATAGCTTTTTTGTTAAAATAGGGCGCTTGTAAACACATTTTTCCCCAATATTTCAGTAGACTGATTTAATCGATGATAAAAATAAATGTTACACTTATATACCTGGATATCAAGAGCAAATATTATTAAACTAAATTAAATGTGTCGGGCATTTATTCTAGTAAACTTAATTTGTTTATTCCGAGCCACAGGTTGGGTATGTAAACATTTAATTAAAGTAATTATGTAACTATAGGGAAACATTGCAATAAAACCATAGTAATTTCATATAATAGTCTAGGTATCCTAAAGATACTTATGTTCTATAGAATTTGTAAGAAAAAGTTTTGTGAACTTTTAACTTTCAATTTAATAATTAATAAATTAAATATGTAACGATTGGAAAATGTTGCAATTGAAGCATAGTAGTTACATATTATATTTTAGGTATCCTAAAGATACATCAAGTATATTGAATTTATACTTAAAAGCTATGTAAACTTTTAACTTTAATTTAATGACTAAAGTAATAATGTAACTATAGGAAAATGTTGTATTTTAACCCTAGTAATTACATAAATTATTTTAGATATCCTAAAGATACTTCAGGTCTATAGAATTTTTACTTTAAAAGCTATGTGAACTTTTAACTTTCATTTTATTTTGAACATCGGGAAGATACGTCAAATCTGTGAAATTTTGACGTACAAGTTCTGTGGACTTTTAGCCTTTTTGAGAACACTCTTATTGCGTATACGCAGCCTGCCCTTTGACCTATTCAGATTTTTTTTTGGCACATCAATGCCAATGGCAGGGCACACTTTTGACATTTTCTGAAGGCGCCTAAAATACTCTCGCCGTCAATTTTTCACGTTATAACGCCAAACCATCCAGCATTTTGGGCTTTAAATCCAGAACCTGGCCGATGGCTAATTACGGGGCAAAC